GATTGATTAGTTTTTTAATTGAAGGATGGATCTTACAGTGAGAGTTATTTAAAGAAGTCCTCAACTATAGCAGTCTTACTACATCCAGCTTACAGAGGCCGTCTTTAGTTCTGTCTTAATCGCTGCCATGTATCCCAAGGTTCTCCAAAACAACCAGCCCACCACCCCCTCAAATACCTCCTTCCCTCCCTCCAGCCAATTCTTGGAGCAAAATCAAAACAAACACGAGCAGAGAAGCCTTGGGGGAGTTGAGTGTTTTTGGTGGGGTTGGGGGTTACAGAGGCAGCAGTGTGCTGGAGCCCATTTTCTAAATTATCTTTATTCAACATTCCTTTAAAATAACCCTCAGCCAACCACCCCCCACTCCACGGACCTGTACTCTGCGCTCCACGGCTCCAGGGATTTTAGGATTTTTTTCTCTGGTGCAAGAAAACATGTTCCATCTGTGAAAGCCTCCGGAGCACAGTGAGTGATCAGCCTGCTCCATGCAGGGGGATCATGAGGTCCAGGTTATCCCGTCCACAGCACCGGGTCCCACTCATGCAACAGGAGAGGGTTCTGTTGGGATCAGAGCTGAAACAAATGGAGGCCAATCAGAGCCACAGAGGCTGCGGTTCAAGGGGAAAAACTGGGATACATTTTCCATTTCAGGATGTCCCTCTCTGGGCTGCATTAGTGAAGGAGCTTTCAAAAAGAAACTTTTTTTTTTTTTTGTGGGGCAACATAAACTGGCAGTACTCCCAGAATTAAGCAACAAAGGAATCACAAGGGTCACAAATGGAGCCAAAGTTTTCCTGGCAGCAACATGCTCATGTCCTAATTAAGGAAGGAAGTGGAGCCAAATGGTGATGGTCCCCACAGAGCTATGAGCCACATGGTTCTCTGTCCTGGAAGCTTCATTCAGAGCAAAGCGGCTCTTTCCTACTTCAAAAGCACGGCTCCTCTTCACCTGGCATCACAGGTGCTACGATAATAGGGTTACCTTGGGCGTCATCATTATTTTATTCACAGCTTTCCAAGCTGTTTTCCACACTGCAAAACTATGAATGAAAAGTTTAAAAGAAGGAAAGTCCATTCCTAAAATATTTAACACTGACCAAGATCCAGATACTGATAGAAGAGTTTCATCTTTTTAGAGAAAAGTATCAGTAATTACCAAAGAAATGATTCACTTTAAAGGATTTGGGTGTTTTCTATGCTTAAGACATTCAAACCAAGTACAAAATAAAAAGTAAAACCAAAAACCGAACCCTAAAAGAAACAAACGGCAACAAAAAATATGCAGCAAAAAAGTTTTTGGGGGGGGGAAATGAGTGCAACTCCTCTTTGTGCTCATTAACAACTTGGATTAACCTTTCACCTTAAAAACAAATGGTTTTCTCCAGGTTTCTTCCTCACAAAGTTCTGTAATTTAATTCCTTCGGGTGACTGCCTAAAATCTCCAAACTGTGAGATCTGTTTCGCTTAAAGCAAGCTTTTTGTGTGAAGAACTGTCAATATATCTCAAAGTCTATATGATATATGATCATTATGTTAGTTTTTTTTTTTTCTTTTCGAAATATAAATTTTTTTAAATGAATAAATACACATTGAAAAGGTGAGGATGTTTTATGGAAAACAATGATTTGGTAGGTAAAGAATAACAGTAGACAGCTTCATTACTATAGCACATTTCAGTAGCAAGACAAATCAAAGCGCTAAAAAAAGATGGTCAAACTAAAACATTGATGGTAAAATAAAAAAGTTGGACTATAAACCTGATGTTTAGGCCGGTCTAAACAAATATAACTTTAGTCTCCTTTTAAAACAACCGATGGTTTCAAAAGTTTTAGTCTTGATTGAGTTTGTTCCAGATTTGTGGAGCATAAAAACTTAAAGCTGCTTCTCCATGTTTGAATCTGATTCTGCAGATTTTGGAGTCATTCAGACCAGCAGAAGGATTTTAAAGTCCTTCATCTGAGATATGTGGAGCCAGTGGACAGACTTTAGAACTGGACTGATGTTCTCCACTTATTTCATTCTAGTGAGGATGCGGGCAGCAGCATTCTGGATCAGCTGTCTGATCCGATTTTGAGGCAGACCTGTCAAGACACCACTGCAGCCAAGATGAACATAGAAATGAGTTTATCAAGATCCTGTTGATACATGTGTTCTTTAATTCTTGATTTTTTCTTTAGATGGCAGAAGGCCGTCTTATTCCTGTCTTTCTGAGCCTCTGAAAGTTCAGGCCTTTATCAATACACCCAGAATTAGATCCCAATGGGTGGTTTCTAGCTGGATTAACTGATCCTGGGTTCATAGACATATGATGACATCATAATGTAAACTTTTGTGTCATCTGCATAGTTAGGGTAACTTATATTGCTGTTTATTAAGAGATGAATAATGAGATGCATGTAGGTATTGAATAATAGAGGCCCTAAGGTGGACCTTTGGAGTCCCTTGCAATGTGATTTTTGTGATCTGTGATGTAAATATATCTCCTGACACAAAAACCTCCTGGTCCTCTAGGTATTGGGGATTTAAACCAGTCCAAAGCTGCACCAGAATGGCTGACCCAGTCTTTCAGGTGCTCTTAATAAAATGGAGCAACCAACAGTGTGAAACGATGCACTGAGATCCAATAGTACCAGCACTTTAGTTCTTCCACAGTCTGCATTTATACGAGCGATTTAACACATTATCAAGGACAGCCTGTTTACTGTGGTTGGCACCAAGGCCTGACCTGCAGACGCTGAAGTGGCTGGTCATTGTTGGTTTAAATAATCTCACTGCTAAAGCACAGATCTGAGATGGGCCTATAGTTCTGCAGTAGCAGCTGTATGAGTTGCTCTTGATCAGGTTTGATAATTGCTGTTTTTAGGGCTTGTGGGAAAAAACCTGACAAAAGAGATGAGTTAAATCGGACCTTATGAGGCAAAGCTGTTGAGACTGTTGGTAAAACCTCTCCAAAGGCTGAGCTTATTTGGTGTACGATTTCTTCTACTGTTTTATAGTTTACTTAGTGAAGTTAGGACATTTTGACAAAATCAGAAATAGTTGGAGAAAACTGTTGTTCTTGACTTGATAAGGATGTACAGACTGATCATTTTATCTTTTTTTTCCTCAGGGAAAATTCATTGCAGGCCCTGGTAGAGTGGAGTTTAGATGCTACTGTCATAGAAGGGTCTGTTAGCTAAGAATTGGTAATGTAAAAAAAGTACCAAGTCTGCCTCTGATTGGCTGAGCGGCATCTGTTGACATCACTGTCCTTGAAGGTTAGGCTCCCAGTGAACCGCTTGGTTCTATCAAGGAGTAAATTAGAACCAGTAGAAATAAAACGTGCCAAACAGGACAAGAGGAACCTGATCAACTAGTTCCGACTTAGTCTAAATATATTGCTTACTGTGAATATTGGCTTTTAACGTTATATTTAAAATAAGACTGATTTGGAAGTGTTTATTGTGCCTGATGTTTTAGTTTGGTATTTTTATGCACATAACTTTATACTTAAGTCTGACCAATTAGGTCATTTTAAGGCATTAAATCAGATGTTATAATCAGTTACTTAGTGCTCGAGTCGCCTTTTTACTACTTTTCTACAATTCATTGAGTTCTTAGATGGCCACTTTATTGATCTTGCAATGGAGAAATGTGCTCGTTACATTAGCTCAAATATTTAAAGGAGAAGAAGGTGCCAAAGGAAGAAAAAGGTTTATGGGATATATACAGTGCATGCACATACGACAACCTTTTTTATGTTAATAGTAGGATCATTATACAGGGTTATTGCACAGGGTGTTTACATGGGTATTTATATAGATAGATATTCATATTTATAATCAGAATATCTTTCTGTTTTTTTTTTCTTCATTAAATAGAGGCTCAGCTGATGTTAGTATAAAAGTTATGGTTGTATTTTTACTATCAACCAACGCTCTCAGTGATTCTTCTCAGTCTTTGGCTAAACGGCTGATTTATCCAATCTTTACATTTTTATTGACAAATCCTCAGGTTTAATGTTTAAGAAATCCCAGCATAAAAAAAGTTAAAAACATCCTCGAACATCCTGATCTCAAATTAGATTGTTAAACTGAAGCTTGTTATAATTCTAGTCTTTTTGGTTTCAGGACAAATTCAACATAATTTTGCTGATGAAGGTTCTCAGTCTCAGTCATCCAGGTCATAGTCATTCCGTAAAAATTAAAAAAAAATATCCACTGGAAATCAAGTCCAGTGGATATTTTTTGAATTTTTACGGAATCAACATAATTTTATTGATGATCCAGAGAACAACCAATTACTTGTAAACATTTCAAAACTACCGTATTCACTATGTGGAAACAAACAGACTTGACATTTCTTAATCATGTCATTTTTATTCTTTATTTATAATTAGTCTTTTAATTTACATCTTATACTTAAATAAATACAAAGTAAAACAGTTTTTTTATGTAAAAAAAAAAAAACAGTACAGCAGTTTTGCCTAAATGGTCTCCCTTTGGAAAAAATAAATGACAGAAAATGTAAAAGAACCATCAGCATCTCTCTCCAACATGTACTTTAATTAAAGCCTCCATGGTTTCCTGTGGAGAGTTTGTCCAAATAAAGTTTCCCATCATAACCTAAACACAACACCAGTGCAAACAAGGCAGAAGCCGCACCTCTGATGAGGACTGTCAGTGATGAAGCACGGCGAGTCTGCGGCTGAGCCACAGTAAAGGCCGCCGAGAAGAGGCTGCACAGATCTGATAAACACTACAGCTCAGGTTTGATTGCCTTTCTTGGAGCTTCATAACATGCGGGAAGGACGTGTAGATGTTGTCTGCTATTCTAATGCAGCGGTCTCAGTTTTATTCATTTAGACTGGCAGGTTGGTATTGTCATCCGAGCTGTGCATCATTTACATATCAATGGTGATTCTGGAGGAGGGGGATTGAGTCTCAGCTCTCTAACAACACACAGTAAGGGCAGAAGGCTTTCACATTCCCCAAAATTAAAGAGCTAATTCAGAACTTTTAAGAAGAAAATAAAAAGTAGGAAAAAAAAATCCTTCAAACTGAGTCCTTTACCTGCCAATTCATATAGTAGAGGAGCTTTACAGCAGCAGCCAAAGCATCTTTGGCTGGTAACTGTCACTTCCCACCCAGATAGTGTACTCAGTGGGTTAGGATGCAGTGTGCTTTGGCCCCTGCAGAGGCCTGCTGTGGTGAGGGCTCTGTGTCCAAGCTGAAAACTGACGGACAGTCCGCAGAGCATTCCTGGGTTTTACAGCTGCTGCGCCGCTCACTGCAAGCTGCAGGCTGAAAGGAACCACAAACTCGTGTTATTCATCAATGCCACACGTCTCGAATAAAAAAAAAAAACGTTTCCCACCATGTTTCAGCTCATTAAGCGATAACCACACCTGTCCTTATAGATTAGAATGTCATAATTATGGAGGGAATTTTGTTCCATTGTTGGTGGAAGCAAAAAAATTAAATTTGACAGAAGTACCCCTATTTTACCACTAGATGGCAATAATTCTTACACAATATCCCTTTAAAAAGTTTTTTCAACATGACATTCCTGGATTGCATTATTTGTTTCAATTCCTCATTTACAAGAGGTGTTCTTTACTTGCAACAATAATGGAGCAAAATTCACTCCATAAATAATTACACCACATTTGAAAAGGTATGAATGACTGTATTTCTTCACTAATAGGTTATTCTTACACTTTTTTCTAAGGTCCACATTTGTGTGACCATTTGTGGATATATACACACATATATATATACACACATATATATATATATACACACATATATATATATATACACACATATATATATATATACACACACATATATATATATATATATATATATATACACACATATATATATATACACACACATATATACATACATATATATATATATATATAAAAAGGCTTGTTTTTTTTAATTCAGGATTCAGGATTCGATTCAGGATGTTCCAAGTTCTGATCATTCAGAGGAATTTAATTTGCCATTCACCAATGTCAATGTAAAAAATGAAGCAAGAAACATTTTCCTTTAGATGATTTCCAAGGCTGTATCTCTGCTACCACTTCCTAAGCTGTGGAAATGCTTGGCTTCAGCCTCTCTGAGTTTCTGCGTCCCCTGTTATGTGTAGAGGTTACTCCGAAGATGCAAAAACACTTCCTGTAGTTCCGCCTGTAAGGTAAACTGTATCAGCAGTACAGTGCGCTGATTCTGGTCATTTTGCTGCATATTTTGGTACAGTCTCAGGTCAGCAGACAGGCATGGGCGTTGCTGCGACCCGCTCTGAAGCAGCTGCTGTTGGAGCCATGCCAGCTGCTGGCTCGGGCTGTAGTGTGGTTTCATTAAAACAACAACAGCAGGGTAAGAAGCCGCATTCTTCATAAAACTTGAGCAGCGAGCTGAGTTCTTAGATCCCTTCCCCCTTTCCTTATTTTTTTTAAACTCATAATTCCTCGGGAATTTAGTCCTGAGAACAGGATATTGTCTCGGTGTCCAACAGCAATCTTGGAGTTAAGCCCAGAAAATACTCTGAATTAAGACTTTGTCCACATATGTGACCATGAGGGAGAAGCAGTTATATTAAAACCTAAAAATCTTCAGCGGGATTTAAATATGTATGTGAAAATAGTCATTAAGTATTAAATAGAAATAAGAAGCATTTGCAGGCTGTTGTTTCTTTTTTGAAGTTGGTGTTATACAGGCCATCCTTTTTCTGCATCATATTCCACAATATTAGCTTTAGAAAAGCTCAGCGCTGCTCAACATCCTGAGTTTGAGCATGACGATGGCATATAGTCAACCGCTGGGAAAGGATTCAATGGAGGGACATTTTATTTGAACCTGCGGACGTCGATTTTCCCTCATCCTCCAGCCAGTTATGGCCGCAAACCTTCCAGTAGAACCCTGCTGCTTTAACATAAATGAGTTTAAGAGGGAACTCACAGCCTCTGACGGATTCAGCGAGAGATTCTCGGTCGAGGGACACATCCCTCTCAGTCTCCTGCATCTGAAACATGAACATAAACTTGTCATCGATATTTGGCTCACTTCCTGGATTTGATGTACAACTTTAGCGTTTTAAAAGTTATTTTACCTTGATATGCTTCTTGAGGTATTCAGCTCTGGTCATCAGGCTTTTAATCTGACAAGAGACATAAAAAAAACCCTTTATTACCATTTCACAATGAAAATTGTTTGTATTCTAGCTTTACAGGGAGCAGCTAAACAGGTAATTAAAAATACCTTTAAGGCACCACGTAAAAACATGTATACTTGACGATTGTAAAGTTAGAGAGAGAGGTAGAGAGAGAAAGAGCTGAAACTTTTCTTAAAGAGTCTTAAAGAGGCTTTAATGATCATTTGGACGGCTGGTTCTTAGGATCCGGCTCCAATCCTGATATTATTTCACCGCGGGACTTTAATCAGGATCCCTCTAATCAGTAAGGGCAACAAATGTGGAAACAAACTCACGCATGTTAGCAAAACATGATACTGTAGGACAACAGCAGCCATGTGAAGTTAAAATAGGGAACAGCTCCACAAAAAGAAAGAAAAAAGCTTTTTCTGAAAAACTTCTGAACTCAAACAGTGTCCAGCCACGGAGGAGCGTGTTCGGCTGTTTTGGGTTCTAACAAACACACGTGCTTTTAATTTAACCCTGCCTCCCTCTGCTGCATTAGCTTATTACAACCGCATCTGAATTTGCTTAAGGCAAGCACCCATAAAACTTCAAACATGGAGGTCTATGAGGCCCAGTCAGGGCCCTGCCCTCTCTCCTGGGGTTTGTTGGTGGAAGATGTTGTGTTTTGTTGGTTCAGCTGCTGGGTAAACAATGGCCAAAAAGAAAACACAAACAGAAAACCAACAGCAAACCTTCAACTTCTGGCGGTTTAAAACAACAGGATTCTCTAGATTATTCCTAATTTCTCATTTTATTCTCTGTTTGAGTTTCAATCATGGTTCTTTATTCCTCATTCATTTTATCACCATCATTAATGGTACTCTGGGTTACATGTTTTTAGAAACTCAAACCCTGTGCTGCCTATAAAAGCCTGACCCGTCAGACTTCAGAGGAAGGATTGGGTTTGATGATTACATGTCTGACAAAGGTCATTTATTCTTAATTACTAATTTTGGCTGAGCAGTCAAATCAGAGATGGCAGCTGGTGGTTCCCTCTACCAGAGGAGAATTAAAGATGGTGCTGTGGTGTTTGGCGACTTCAGCTGATGCAGAAATATTTCAGAGAGTGTCGTCATAGTTTGTCTCTGCAACATGAGGTCTTCTACCCCGGTCAACCCAATGACTGGTCCCCTTGTTTTCAGCATCTATTCAGCTGTATAGTTTGTAGGTTAAGTTGATATAGACAGCTGTTCCTTCCTAACAATCTTCAATAAATTTCTTTAAGTATGTGTGAAGGTGTTAGCTGAGAGAGAGTTTCTTTTAGTTACAAACCATTTGGCTGGTTAGAAAACAGACAACAAAGGCGGCTAATTGTGCAGAAATTTGACTGACTGAGTTTAATGCTGCACCTGCTTTGTTGCTTTACTTCTTAGCTTCTCTGTGAAACCAACTACCAGTTTTAGTCCGCCAGGCAGACACAAAGTCTTCACAAACTTTCCTTTTTGATAAACCTCAAAGTTAGAGTGGCTCAGGTTATCCACAGCTATCTCTATAGTTATGCTGCTATCGGTTTAGGCTACTGGAAGACATAGGGACCTCTTTTTCATGCCTCATGAGACCATCCTGATCTCGCGAGCTTTCAAGGTTTCCCTCGCTAATCAGTCTGGAGACTCTCTGTTGAAGAAAATTTGGAGCCGTTCACCAAACGAACGTCCAATCAGCGTTGGCTTTGAGGCGGGTTGAGGTGTGACGCAACGAGAAGCGCGACAGTTCAGTCTAAAGAACATGGCGGCTTCAGCCGATGAAACTAGCGTTAGCGTGGCTATCGAGCAAGTTTTATCGGAATTACAGAGTATTTCTTCCCTGAAAGAAGAGCAAAACACTGCTCTGGAGGCTTTTCTCAGAGGAAAAGATGTTTTTGCTCTTCTCCCGACTGGTTTCAGCAAGAGTTTGATCTACCAATTGGCTCCTCTTCGTCGTCGCTCTGTTAGTACGTCATATGCTTCGTTGATCTGATTGGTTTATTTGGCCCGTCTATCACCATTCTATTCCTGTTCAAAGGGAGTTCAAAGGGAGTTTTTACTCTCCACTGTCCCTACAAGCATGCTTGGTGTGAGGGATTGCTCAATGAGTCGATGCAATCAATATATTTTCCTTAGATAGAAAACTTTAAACCAATCCAACTGCTTGACTGGTTGAATTGTCTCTGTAAAGTGCTTTGAGATGACATGCATTGAATTATCTCTATAGAAATAAATTGAATTGAATGTAATTTTTACCAGAAAAATAGCTAAAAGCCTCATGTGAAGTCACCCTTTTCTATCTGCATTGAAATGCAAGCCAGAGGCATATAGCAAATAAGTCATTGCAGTACAGAAGTAATTTTTGAGGATCTGTAGTGAGCTATTAACAAAATCTATACTTTAATTTGTTTAACTTCTTTTTTTAATTTTGCCTCTTTAAAACAAACGTTAGTTTCTTGCATTTCTCTAGAAAACCTCTCATTTTAAAAATTGATAAACCCAAGTTACCAAAGAAAATGTTTGCATTATTGGTTGTAAATTGTAGCTATTAAGATGATTTTTTTATTTTTTTTCCTTCTCTTTAACAGATTGGAGCCTTTTTATTGCTTTGTTACAGAGCGTGCTTCTATTTTTCACTGGCAGACAGCACAGCAGTGGATGGATGTAGTTCCACATGACTCAGGCTAAAGCAGGTTTTCAACAAATTCTACCTTGACTGTTTGACTCATGAATTAAAGGGACCAACAACAAAAAAATTAAAAATTGTGTTGTTCTTATGTATGAACTTTAAACACTTTGCTCCTCCTCAGACATACCTGTATTGCTTTTTTGCCAATCTTAGCCTCACCTGACCAAACAAAACAATCTAGTCAGTTGGTTCTGCAAACTGCACATGTGTAGTGATTGTAGGCAAATAAAAGGCTTTTTCTAGCAAAAGTACGGCTTTTAGACAGCTACTTATAGTTGCTATGATGATTTGGTGACCGCAAAGACCACACAATTTGCCTCAGATATTTTATCACTCTCAATGTGCATGGTGCCAGATCCAACATGGATCCTTATCCAGCAGGATAAATGGCTAACCTGACTGCACCAGATGGATTTGCTCCGCATATCCATCTGGAAACCTTCCGTTGAAGTAATTTTGGGAAGGGGCGAAAATACTGGTTAGCTGATTGGCCTATGTTGGTGATAGACGGGCCAAATAAACGAATCAGATCAACAAAGCATATGACGTACTAACAGAGCGACGACGAAGAGGAGCCAATTGATAGATCAAACTCTTGCTGAAACCAGTCGGGAGAAGAGCAAAAACATCTTTTCCTCTGAGAAAAGCCTCCAGAGCAGTGTTTTGCTCTTCTTTCAGTGAAGAAATACTCTGTAATTCCGATAAAACTTGCTGGATAGCCACGCTAACGCTAGTTTCATCGGCTGAAGCCGCCATGTTCTTTAGACTGAACTGTCGCGCTTCTCGTTGCGTCACACCTCAACCCGCCTCACAGCCAACGCTGATTGGACGTTCGTTTGGTGAACGGCTCCAAATTTTCTTTAACGGAGAGTCTCCAGACTGATTAGCGAGGGAAATCTTGAAAGCTCGCGAGATCAGGATGGTCTCACGAGGCTAATAAATGGCACCAGCAACTAAAAGAGTCTTTATGTTGATTCTTATGTAAATATCAGACAAACAGAAGGTTATAGACTCCTTATTAGCAGGACATCAACTCAAAAAGGTCAAATAAAAATCAAAAATTGAAATAGTTACATTTATTTTAAAGAGACTATTGGTCATATTAATAATTCTGTCTGGTTCACCTTGTAAAATGTAATTTCTTAGATGTGGAATCCTCTCTAAATTTTCTCTAAAAAATGTTTTCCTATCCATCTATAACTGGACTTCATGTCTACCTGATGGGCTTCAAAATGTGCTTGCTGTAATTCGGTGCCATGAACATGAATTCATTTTTAAAATTAAATCGAATTAAATGAAATGTAACATTTTTAAATATATGATTCATGTTTTCTTTTGTTTCTGTTTTATTTCGTTTGCTTTTACAATTAAAGCTAAAACACAAAGTTGTAAAACATCAAATATTAACCTGAATATCTCAAAAACAAAAACATTGCAAAAACATTCCCTAATGTCACATTTAGCCCATAAATAGAGCATTTAGAATAAAATGGTTTTCATTTATTATTGATGTTTAAAGCCATACCGAAGCATCAGAAGGTTTAATGATAACAATGGATGATATGTTGGGCTATTTTTAAAGGTCTTGCTGCTAATAAAAATAAAAAACATGGGTCATGTGATGATTACCTGTAAGCCTACTGGTGGCTAAAGCAGAACCTTTTCTTCACCCACTCACCTCACCATGAAGCAGCTCTCTCCTGCGACCCTGGGGCTCAGCTGGATCAACAAGAGTGAGGGGGGAGAGAAATAAAACAAAACAGCAGAGAAGTAATGAAAGTAAAGTAGCAGAGGAGCCTAGCATCCATTTACGTTGTTCAAGAAGAGGCAGATACTAGATTTGATTTCAGGAGCGTGTTGACCGGAGTCTCAAGGAGTGGAAATTGTTCTAATGGAGGCCATTGTTTTCAGAGCGAGCTGCGCTTGAGGGCAGAGAAATGGAAAACGAGAGGAGGAGGAGGAGGGCAGAGTGGCAGGGAGGTTGACTGGGGAGCTAAGCAGCAAAAAGCTTCAGGGGGAACAAAAGGACCTCCTAAGAATCTGCGGCAGAAATGATCGATCCATGATTCCCTTACCAGAGATCAGATTTTACGTAGTTTTTTTTTTTGGTTGTTTTACTCCACAGCATCTTTAACCAATCAAGTTATTGAAACTGGGATAATAGTTTTTGTTTGTCTCCAGGTTTCAGTAACACACACGGCTGAATTATGGCGTCTGAATGTGAAGCAGATGGCGGGACTCTCATACCACACACAGGGCACTGGCAGCGGGTCTCATCCCAGCTCAAAGCCACATCTGGATCACTCTGTTCCACCTCCTCCATTAGGCTCAACTCATGAACCAAGTCTGATGGACGCCAGGCCACAGAGCCACTCGCCTCTTCGGATACTGCACCGTGCAACGCTAAAACGACTCCAGATCTTCCCGCTGCTGCCTCATCCCATCGAAATCACTACATCTTAAGTCTCTAAGCTCCCGTCTAAATTTTCATCTGTTTCTGTTTTATTTCTGTAGTATTACTCAACATTGTTTAGCTAATCCGTAACCTCAGCTCTTATGAAGGAGTCCTATTCTGCTTATGAAAAACAAAACATTTCTTAATTTCACTACAAGAGCGCTGACTCAACATTAAAAACGACTTTAAGTCGTAGGGAACTCGTATTTAAACGTCAAATCATTCTGGCTTAAACGTATATATAAATGCACTCTTTATCAAACCCTATTGTCCCAAAAGTTAGAAAATTTTTAATTGAAAAAAATCCTGTCTTAAAATCTGTGCATTTTTTCCCCGTTATCTTCTGCAGGCCAGTTATTTATATGTCAGCCCGAACACCTAAATTCGGCCAATCATATATCAACGGTCATCCGCCAATCAACTTTTTTCGGTCATAGCATCTTGATTCATGTGTCGCAGCTAATATACGCAACGATTGAAAAAATAATCCTTTCCTTTCCCATTGAGTTGCGTCCCAGTGTTCACGGGGATGGACGTCTGTGTCTTCGGCAGGCGTAGAGCTAACAGAACTGGCAGCGTTGCGAGGCAAGGGCTCCAACATGTACGGCTGGAAGGCTTCTACACCAAACCAAGCTTCTGCCGCCCTGGCGTCCTCTTCCACAACATCTTCGTCCCCACTTTCCTCCTCTAAATAAAAAATGGATGACGGAGGAGACTCATCCACGACCTCCGACACTAAACTCTCCTCCTCTTGCATGTTTCCGCTGTCCATAGCGTTCCTTGACAGTGTTGTTGCTTGGTCTCAATGGAATTTCCCATTAGTAACCTACTAGCACTAAGTTGCTAACTGGTTAGCAAGATGCTTCCCACAAACCGGCACAATCAAACTTGCTTGCGAACCTTCCGCCACAACGATCCCGCCCCCTTGTTAATCGACCAATCACATTTACTTTATTCACTCATGTAAAGTCGGGCGCCACTCGGGAGAATTCGGAAATGCAACGGTTGGAACGGCCGCTTCCCTGCGACTTTATGGATAATGCAGTGAAATAGTGAAATAGTCAAATAAATGGGTATACCTGCTAAAGCTAACAGAAGCTCCCCTAAACACTGCTGGTACACGTCCAAAGCTTCGTGATCATCTGATCCATATTCCTCCTGGGAAAGACGATTGAAAGAGTCAGATCACCATTTTAAATGATAAATCCCACAAAAAAACAAATCTAATTTCTTTTTCCTCTAGAAGAAGAAGTCTATTTTATAGGATAAAAGAACCCTTTATACTGAAGTTCTTTTGTTTTTATTTTGTTGAGTATCAACCACCAACCTTGAAGTATTTATTTGGGACTTTATAAGATAGACCAATAAAAAGCAATTAGGTGGAGTGGAAATTATGCAGCGTTTGGAAACATTTTTATCCACTACAAATCTCAACATTTGATGCAAACAACTGCCTCCAGAATTTGACTAACAGGTGTTCATTTCAAAATGAATTCAGCAATAAAGCAGACATGCATTATTTCACAGAAACAAAGAAAAAGAGAACAAACTCATTGTGCTTTCGTAAAGATAAAGGCTTCGCACAGCTTTGCTTTATTAACTTTCTGGGTGAAATAATTCTTATTTGTAAAAAAAAAAAAGTCCTTCTACTTAGCATTTCTGTACTATTATTTGTGTGTCAGTCAGATAAAATCTGCTAAACATGTTCTGTTAACTGGAGTCAATTTTATACCATTATTGTTTTGTGGTAAATCAAAATAGGAAAAAAATACTTTAATAAAAAAAATGATGCTGTGATGAAACTAGAACAAATAAAATGTAGGAATATAAAAAATCTGAAAAAAAGCAAATTTCATGAATAGTTTGAAATAAGAAAATCTGAGAAAACCGCAAAGTTACTCTTGAAAAACTTTAAAAAAAAATCTTTTTAAAGTTTTATTTCAGTATTGGACTACTTGTTTTCAAAATTTCCATTTACAAAACATATCCTTAGTTTGCAACAACAATGGAACAAAATTCACTCCGTATCATAGGGCTACCAATAGTTTTGGTGATTTTTTTCTTAACTTCTGGTTGGTTTTATTGCATGATTTAATTTCTTAGACCTTCATCTGTGAACATCTGGGTATCTAACCTTAGCAATGGCTGTAGAGGCCATGTCCAAGGCGGCCAGGAGACGTGGTTGGTCTTTAGACATTTCTGTCAGGAGAAAGACAATTCTTAGATTTGAATCAATTCTTAGTTTAGACTATAAACTCAGACCTTAAGCATATTCACTAAAAGTGTATGGCAGTTTAAAATCTTTAAACCAATAAAAATAACCGCTTAAACCTCAGGGTTTCATTGGTTCAAACAAATGACACCAATTTTCATCAACCAATATTTGGATAAAATCGTCCATATAGATAGAAACAGTACATGCTGGCTGGATGTTTGACGAGTTTTTACTGCCATAAATGACATTAGGACATAGGGTCAGCAAGGATATTCTTGAAGCTGAACTTTAGCCTGCTTTATCCTTTCCACAATCAGATGTGTTGATTGGCATTGCTGACATTTTAGTAAACTAAAGTGTGACAAACCCATCTCACCCAGACCATCACCTCCAAGGGGAAAGAACAGGACAAAATGTTTAAGATTATGTTAATTTGGAATGGTTAAATATACAGACATGCCAAACAACATTTATGGTCACGCTGTAAAAATACAAATCTAGGTAAGTTATTTTTTTGTTAAAGAGCTATATTTTCCCTTGATTTGGGTAAATAAGCAAAACAATCTGCCAATGGAATAAAAATACTTAGGTTAAAATAATAAAAATCTCTATTATCTTATTTTCAAGTGAATAATATCTACTTATCTTATTCTAGGAGGAAAATGTTCATTCTATTAGCAGATCACACCATTTACCTGCTCAAATTAAGGGCAAATACACTTATCTAGATATTTTTTTACTTATTTTTCCAATACTTTTTCATCATCATGCTGAGGGTGTGTTTTACTGCCAATGGCATTGCATTTTAAAACTAAATATAGACAGACACATCAGTCAGTGGATATTTTTGGCAGGTATTAGTTAATTTAGCAGCCATGGCTTGAGTTAAACATTAAGCACATGCATCGATATTCCATCCATTTGCTTTGTTTGGTTTCTTAATAAAGGTTTCTTTTCATTTGAATTGAAAGATTTATTATCATTGTATCATATGTTTAATCATATAAAGAATTAAAAAGTCGTATCAGCCCGGAAAGAAAAGAAGAAAAAAAAAATCAGTCTCCTCATTGGCCTTTAACAAAAACGTGTCTGTTGATCTCATTACAAACGGAATCGAATAATGTGGGAAAACATTAAGCTTTTACTTTGCAAAAAATGCTCAAAACCAGACAAGGTTGTTGCTTCGGAGGTGAAAGTCAGTTTGCAACCTTTATTATTAATGTTCCTGTCAAAGAAATAAATCCATCATGTCGGCAAAGTAAACTAACAACAACAAATACTGGAACAGATCAGGCTATAAATGTAAAACCTAATCAAATGTTTGTAAAAAAAAAACAAACATCTGATCTTTACCTCGGAGAACGTCTCTGGATGTCCGAGCTTCCTCGAAGCTCCGTTTGTTGTCCGAAGCGAGCAGAGCCTTCAGCTCCTCGGCTCTCGACACGTACTGTTTAACCTGTGGGCAAAACCTTTACAGTGATTACTTTGATCTCCAGAAACGATTCAGTTACAGCAATGAATTAGGACCTAATTGGAAAGAAAAAAATACACCCATATTAATTTTTACGCTGACTTTCAAATATCCTCTGACATCTACAGGTTGTCACACCTCTAAAATCTAAACATTTCCCTGACCGCGGCAGCTGCTGTTCTCTAAATAGGAATTTTGTTTGTTGGCCTGCAAATAAATGTCAACATTTGACATATGGAGAAGTTAGAAATACTAATACTTGGTTAATCGTAAGTTTTATAAAATTAATATTCAGTATAAAAGTTTATAAGGAGACCTAATTAAGTATTGAGTGGAACAGAGTAAAGTCCTGCTTTAAAGGAAAAGTCCGGTCAGCAAGGAATGATCAATGGATAATTATCTATACCTAAAACTAATATGTTTATAATGAATTTAGTGTTAATCAGTAAAAAAAAATAAAAGTAATAATTTTCATTGCGATCACAGAGTCTGGGAGCGGCCATTTTTGCCCAAATATAGTAGCCCCTCCCTCCTGCCATCTTCCGGCCGTGACGTCAC